TCAGTTGGACTCGCCGTTCGCGTGCGCTTCACGTATTATACACAGGACGTTGATATTTTAATTATAATACAATTTTTTATTCTTTTTTTATTTGTTTTCTCTAAATGTTTTCTATCCTAGCAATGTTTCGTATCTATTACAAACACGCATACATATATGTATGTATGCGCACGCGACAATACATACGATATATGTACATCCATCGTAGTCTCTCAGCAATCACTATTTTTTGTTACACCACTTTTTAAGTTACAAGACTTAATACTAGATTACAAGAAAGTCTGATTACAAGAAATAGATTATATGCGGCATTATCCATTTTACGCGTGTATAATCATGAGTTGCACAAGAAAGAAAGACATGTATATTGATCTAAGACCTTGGTCCATGAATAATCGTTAATCTGTTTTTTTTCTCAGTTTTAATAAAGCGAGAGTTTGCAATTGCGGAGAGAACATTGAATGTCGTAAAAAAAGATGAAATACTTCTAGATAATTAATGCTTTTAATCGCAAAGTTTGAAGAAACGGTAAAGCGTTAATTATGAGTGAAAATTGACAATTTTTTTCTTTAATGTTGCATCAAGCATTATTTTCTTTTACAATTAGTACGCGTAACTTTTCGCATTGTGCCATTTCTTATCTAATTTCAAGTTTTCGTCGCTTCAATGATTTTTATACAAGACACTTTTTTCCTTCTTCGCAGAAGCAAAAATATTAATGATCTAAAGATCCAAATTCGATTTCCGATACTGGTACGAAACCTAATCTCTCTCGTTCTTTAGAAAAACGAAAGAACTTTTCTTGTTTCTAATATTCCCATGGATAATCCTTCTCCTACCCATCAATTCAATTAGATTTCTTCGTCTTTTTCAAGGAACTACCAAACTGAGTACTTTATTCACTTATAAATAATATTAAGCAAATATTGATCAAAACTCTGTAGATCATATATTAACGTTCCCAATTGACTTTCCACCATGCATCTAAGATTTTCCATTGGCAACTCGTAAATTGAACTGAGTGGTAATTCATTAAAAAGATCTAAAATTTAAGAATCGAAGAAAAATCCCTAACGTTCAATCCTTTTTTTATCAATAATCAAATGTCAATTAAACGTTGATGACTGTAAGATTTTTCAAATCTATCTATATCTGTACTAGGTTATCTATTATAAAGATACTTAAAAAACCAATCCTTTGAAATTGCGATCTCATTCATTCGAGTTAAACTCTTGAATAGAATTCTGGATTAACCATGTTTACAAACGTACGCCGAAAAAGTAGACTAATCCGAGGTAGAACCGATGTATGAATCAATTTTATGTACGAAAATAAAAATCAATAAAATTATTGATTTCTATTGATTAACACGTTTTATGTACGCTGTATCAATTTTATATAATTTGTTATTTACGCCGTGTATGTAATCCACACGACATATTTGTTACATCTGTTAAATAAATTGTATTTCAGAATAATGAACAACTGATATTAAGAAATATTTCACGGTTCTATTTTATAAAACATTAAATAGTTTGAACGGAAGATGACCAGTCATTTACATGAAACACGAAACATATTAATACAACAGTATTAGAAAATTTACAAGCACGTTATTCCTCAATACAGCTTTCCTCATTTTCTCTTTCTTTGAGATTGATGAATTATCTTGTAAATTCTTTACTGTTCTAATAGATTATAATCTAATAGAAGTAAACTGCGACTTACCCTCATTTATTATTTCAACAAGTTTTAAAATAGAATCTTCTTTTAAGGAAACATCACCAACAAGGTACAATAAAAGATTAACTATATTATGGAAGCTCGTGTGATTATCAAAATATATAGTTGATTAGCTTGCGATACTAATTTCATAACTTATTATTCGTAAATATTTCGTAAATATATACTTACATCTATGATATATCTAAGTTTGACTTAAAACTGCACTTTTATCATTTGATTATTCAATTATGTAAACAAATCAATGTAAAATATATGCTATTCTATAGTAATGTGTAAAGTAATATTAAAAAAATATTGTATACATAATATATATTAATATATTGTATACATTATTCTTATTGAAAAATAATTTTATATGTATTTATAAGAATAATAGACAACGTTTATATTATGTTTATAAATCAATATTTATAAGAATAAAATATACAATATGTTAATACTTATTACATTAAATACATTAATACATTATTCTTATAAATATACTTATAAAGTTCTAGATAAGTAATAATAAATCATGAAATAAATACCGCTTGTGAACTTATCATTTCAATATTTCTATTGAAGTTTACGTACTAATCTGTGAATCTACTTGTCAATTCTGTGAAAATATGTACCAAAATTAGCTGTTTTTAATTCTTTTCAACTATGTGTCAACTTGTAATTGATATATAATGTTAATATAATGTATCGATATAATTATCATCATATTATATTTGACATTTCTACATAAATTTCTAGAAATGAAAAAAATTTCTGATTTCTATTAGATCCATTGAATAAATTAAATTGAGGGTGACATACTCGATGATTTTTTTCAAAGAGTAATTTAAATTACAAAGAGCGTAAAAATCTTGAGAGCCTTGTCGGTGATGACATGCGAGTACTATTAATTTTTGTTTCTGTTATAGATTATGTAAAAATCACGAAATTTCTAATATTATTCAAGTATATAAATTAATCAAGTATATTACGTAAATCTATAGTGTCTGTCAATTAATTCCCTGATTACGAATGGAGTGTTTTAATGCATTACATATCATCTATTAATTTGATTAATATTAACCTAATATAATTAATAAAGAATTTGTGAATAATAATTATGGACAAATCTAAACTTTTGTTTTCCTCATTACTATTATTCTGTTCTGTTTACTTTCTCCATCGAGTCATCCAACTTGATAATGCCGATCACGATAGCTTGTATATATTTTCAAGGTTAAAGTCGTATACATATTATTGTGTGATCAGAAAACGTGTTATAATTAGAAGTCAACAAACATATTTGGATTTAATCAATAATCATGTTAAACTCGGATTAGCCTATTTCCTCTCATAGAATCAATTTTTTTCAATCATATAATCAGATTGCAAAAATTAAAATATTTAATGATTCGGATTATTACATTCCATTAAATTTTCAGTATAATCTGAAAAACAACGGCAATCTATAATAAAGAAATACTTGAATAATAAAACTCAAATTTCTAATATATAAATGACTATTAAAATACAATGCTAAATTTTTGAAATTTTTCAAAAAGTTCGTGCCAGGTCTCCATAAATAGTGCCCAAGTGATGTTTTTATATGTAGCATATTTTTATTCAGTTATATATGCTTTCGTTTCTGCATCTATAAAAAATTGTGAAAATTCAATTTTTTTCAGATTTCTTGTTGGAGCTTTTAGCAAATAATCTGAAAGTGTAACATAAACTTTTCAGACAACCCAATATAATAGATGTACACATTAATAGTAAATTAGTAGTATAAGACAAATAAGTGATCTATCGGTCAACAAATTCAACATACTCGAAATTGAATATTCTCTCCTCATATACTATATCGCTGTATGTTTTTGAAGCCCTATCTTTTCTCTCTTTTGTATCTCTCGCTTAACTTTACAATCGCAATGTATTGTTTGATATTCATATCTTACAATTCGTTCGTTCGTGTTCATTCGTACTTTTACTTGGTCTCGAATTATCTTTATGCGCCAAACTTTGCTCGTATAAACAGAAAAAAGTTTATTGAATGGAGTAAAAGTATGTGTGAATTATTATATTAGTGATTTGCTGTCAGAAAATGACATAAAAATCATGTCATTATGTATAGCTCACTGTAAAGTTCGTATTTTACATTCATTGAAGAACATATTTTGCACGATAAAAAATTATCGACACGGTAAAAAGCACGACTTTGGACACGACGATTAACATGACTTTCGATTGGGTTGTAGGTTTGTTCTTTCTAGCTAAATCTTTTAAATTTTTCGTCATTTTTGTTATATTTTTTGCTTCTTATGTCTAATTGTACATTACTGCATCTTTAATAGAGTTACGCTCTACAAGAGTTACGTTCCTCTATCGTATAACGATCTAAACGCAACTTTTGAGAGCAAAACACAGAGTATATTACAATTGTTGCTACAAAGAATAAACCATATACATGTTTTTTATAATTAAATTTATAATTAAACTTCATGTGTAATCACCTTTAATGTACAGAATAATACACATGGGGTCATGACTTTCAATTATTATTTGTTCATCTCCAGTTTGAATTCAACCTTAAAAATATAAGCATTCCCTCGGTTGAATTAATTGTAGCCAATTAAGTTAATTCGAAATATGTTGGAGTTTTACACGCCATAGAGAGAAAGATATAACGAGCGGTCGCATTTTTGCGTTAATTCAAAAGCACTGGTTTGGGAGGACGATTGACTTTTTGTTCAACGATTGTTAAACAAAGATTAATATTGTTACTCTTAATTGTTATTGTTAATATCCATTGCTATTATGTTACTTGCGCGAATAATCTTTATAATAAACTAAATTCGGGATATTCAAGGCTTGTTCTATATTCAGCGAGATATTTGCAATTCTGAGGACATTTCAATTTGTTTCTTTTTTTCCTGTTTTTCCATTGTTTCTCCCCAAAAATCCCGGATTCAGTCGGACTGATGCGATATTTAGATGCAATATTTTTTGTCCTACCTATAATAATAAATGATACCTTACTCGTATGTAATCACCAAACGTTGTAATAATCAGTGGCATCACTATAGCAGGGCAATCTCTGGGTTTATATAAGCAGCCCCTGATCTCTCATGACAACCGTTAATGGCAGAATTTCAAAATTATAATACCAAAATGCCAACGCTATAATAATGTTTAAATTACAAGTGTATTTAAAATCAATTAATTAAATTATCTGAAGAATTGCATGGCATATGGTACAGTGAGAGTGTAACATTTGTCATTTATTTATAATACGATCCATGACAATTTTGACAGCTGTGTGATGTGCTTGAACATACAAATTTCAGATAGTTTAATTAATTGTCTGCCATTAAGGCACATCTTATTGTCATAAGAGATCTGGAGCACCTTATATATTTATTTTGTCTCTATATGCTCTCATTGTTCGCTCTCGCATGCACACTTTCTTTCTCTCCCTCTCTATTTTTTTTTTTTTTAATATGGTTGGTGTCTTTGAAACTGACGCGGTCCTGGACCGTTACCTCGTGGTTTGGGGCCATACCCCATATTGTCGTAACCATCATACCCGGCGTAATCATAGTTCGCGTACATATCATCATAGCCGCTATGATAGCCATTGTATTCAGGGATGTAGCCATAACCACCGCCATAACCATATCCGTAACCTGGTGCCCAGAAACCTTGATTTCTTGGATCTGGATTAACCTTCACTTTTTTCACGTCTACTTCCTTGCCGTTGATGGTCTGTTTAGGCGTTTTTAATAACTTGTATACAACCTCCTTCGAATCAAACGTAATAAAGCAGAACCCTTTACGTTGATTTTTGACTTTGTCAAATGGAGCCTGCAGTTCAACTATCGTTCCGAATTGCCCAAAATAATTCTTGATATCATCGTCCGTAATTTCTGGAGTAAGACCACCCACAAAAATTTTACCATGCTGCGATTTTTTACTGACTCGCTTTGGATCTACCTGTATAGTCATAAAGCAAGAGCCGTTTAAACAAATAAAATAAAAATGTCGGGCAACAGACATGTGGCAAATTAAACGACGTTTGTATTTCTAATTATCGGAGTAACCACGTGTTTCGCGAAATTAAATCTAAAAAAAAATGGCTAGATCACGCTTGACAGCGTTGCTTACATACCTTGCGTTTATTTATATAATGGTCGCCAGACGCGAGCAGTTTGTCAATGGTTTTGGGATTGGTGAATACCATGAAGGCGAAACCGCGGGAAATGCCAGTGTGAGGGTCAACCTTCACTGAGATACTCTCGATTTCGCCAAACTTCCCAAAGTGATCCCGGAGCTCCTTCTCCGTGGTGTTGCGGGACAAACCACCAATAAATAGCTTCCGCTCGTCATCCTTGCCAGGGATGCCGGCTGTAGCCTGCTGATGCTGCTGTGATTGACCGGATGAATGCTGTTGTTGCTGCTGGTCGTGCTGACTTTGATTCGTCTGCTGCATATCGTTCTGTTGTGCACCCTGCTGCCCCCCCGGTTGGTCCTGCACGCCGTCAGCGTCGGACTGATTTTGAAAATCCGTCGTTGTGGCCGCCATTCTGTTATTCCTCGCGCTCCCCTCACACGTCTCGCAGCGTTAAAGACAAAGCAAGTCCGTCGTAGACCTGGGTGCCGACTGCCAACAAACACCAAGCGCCCCGTCTTTGGGATCAAGATTTATCAAAAACAGGCCTCATACGTATAGACGAGATAACTTACGATTATACACGCGTAGCACAGATCTACAGCACGTCGTCGTCGCCAGAAGGTCGAAGAAATAGAGACCGGTGTGTCCGTGCCGGCTTAAAGTCAGTGAAAGAAGAGGGGTGAAAGAACGCCATCGCCTAGCATTGTGAAAATTACTACGTGGTCCTGTATTCCGTTCGCCGATTGGTCATCGTTATTACCACCGTGCCCGTTGGCCAATCGGTACGTGACACCAACGTTCCACATTAGTTGGGAAAAAGTTGTCGACAGTTGGTAATAATCTTTAGCACTTAGCGCGAGAAACGCCGGAAATAACCTCTTTGTTGTCGACACATCTACGGCCATTTTCAGCTAAATGTGACATTTAGCCACATCGCGTTGTTCAGGCGCCAACGTGAGCATTATTGTTATTTATCACATCGATAAGCTCGTCGATGTTCGTCGATGTTCGTCGATGTTCGTCGATGTTCGTCGATGTTCGTCGACGCTCTGTCATCGTCATATCTGATGCGCGCCCTGATCATCCTAAAAATTAAACTGGATTAATGTTGTATCGACGCATTCTTTTCTTGTACACGATATAGAAAAAAAATAGCAGTGGATTTCATTGCTTCGAGAGCGATTAATGAATCATACGTTCTGCTTAAAGTTATGATCAAATTGATTAATCATATTTAAATTGCTTAATATTTCAGAAAAATATATCAAAAATATAATTATATGGAAGTTATTCACAATAAACTTATGTTAATGTAGTAAAATATCAAAACTGCAAAACGCATTGCGCGTCGACTAATCGTCTGCTGGCGTGACGTTAGCGAGAGAAAAAAGGTAAAGATCCTTTATTAGGCCTTATGTCCACGATCTAGAAATCGATCCGAGATCCCGGATAGAGAAAAAAAATTGACCAATTACAGTGACTATACACGCGTAGCACAGATCTTCCATTTCTTACGTGCGTTTAAGATCACCCTTAACGTTTTAGGTGGAGAGGAGAGGGGGGGATCGAGCCATGTGATAATGATAATAGATGTGATATAGTAAAAA